AGGGGCCGGCCCGTGGCTCACTCGGGAGAGTGCGGTGCTGATAACACCAAGGCCCCGGGTTCGGATCCCATATAGGGATGGCCGGTTCGCTCACTGGCTGAGCGTGGTGCTGACAACACCAAGTCAAGGGTTAAGATCCCCTTACTGGTCATCTTTAAAAAAAAAAAAAAAAAAAAAGATTGAATTTTATAAAGCAGAACAAAATGCTTTTTAAGTTTGAATTTATTTCTTAAAATTCATCTAAACTTTGTATAATTCCTACATGAAAATTAATTCTACAGGCCTATATTCAGGGTTACCCAAATTTTATGTATACTAATAGGTGAAGAAGATATATAAATCTCTCTCCAAAAAAAAGGTGTTTTAGAATCAAACCTGTGCTCAATCTGACTCTAGCCCTTAACCACTGGGGAACCTTAAACAAGTCCCCTTACCTCTCTAAGCCAAAGGCTCAGTTGTGAAAAAGGGACAGTATTAGCACTTGCATGATAGGTCTCTGTGAGTGATAATTGAAACAATACATGTAAACTGTTGAAAAGAGTACTCCGTAAGTGTCAACAACTATGGTATGGTGGAAAAGTATCAGTAACTGCCTTCGGATTCTTAACCTCTCAAACTAAATCACCCATGAGAACCTTCATCCAGATTTCCCTCTCCATTATGCTCTGCCTCTTACTGTATCTCAGTAATTTCCTGTCTAAGGTTGGTGACAACCATGAGGCTGCCCTAGCTCTTGTCCTCTTGAGTATGTTCCCTTTCTCTCTTCTTCTCAACAAGTTTTGTCCCTGAAAGCCAATGAAATACTAAGTATTTCAAGTTGAAACACTTTTCCTGTGGAGTTTGCCTAAGTGTAATGAGTAGTTTTCCAATCCCTTAGTCATCTAGTTGCAGGTGGGCTGTGGTCGCATAGGAAAAGCGTCAACAGATTGAAAGAAAAGCAGCACTAGAACTGCTTGCCAGTGATCTGGGAATCCAGAATCTTATATTTAAAAAAGACTTAGAGCTCCAACTTTCTGTCAAATGCAGAAATCTTTCCAGA